TTATGTGCATGTACCAACTCTCTACAATGAATCATTGCATACTACAAACATGTACTAATAAAAATTTAGAGTAAAAGTAACAATGAAACTCTTAGGAAAAATGTTATTCTTTCTAGTATCCTTAAATCTTTATGACTGTGCTAAGCAGAAAACTGTCAAGTTGATATGAATATGCCCAACCCTTACTTGTCTTCTTATATAAATGTAGAAGAGGTCTTGGGGATCTTTGATAGGCAATTAATTAGGCTAATACTGTTTTGATTTCATTGTATTTGTTTTTATGTTCTTTAATTTATATCTATTGGAAATGTTTTTCACTTACTTAAATAACACAGTATTTCCTTTAAAATAATTCTATTTAAGTTTTTAAAAGGTTAAAGAAATCATATAAATAATATTTTTATTTACATTTTAATAATATTTTCCAGGTTCTTGGGCCTGGAAAAAAATTTGATAAATTTGGGAAACACTAAGTTAAATAGTTCAGGTGACTAGCCATGTGGTGTTTGACATTGACCTTGAAACTGGTTAGGAGTCATGCACAATACAGCGAGTGATCATATCCTTTTTTTTTTTTTTCCTGAGGAACTGGGGATTGAACTCAGGCCCTTGTGCTTGCCAGGTAGGCGCTTATTCTACTAAGCCATCTCCCCAGCCTGATCATCTCTTTAGTGCTCTGCTATACCTGCACTTTGGTTGCCAGAAGCTCATGTGACTCCTGGTTTCGGGAGATCAGCACAGCACTGCAGTAATAACAGCCACTACATTTATTGAGGATTAGGTTCTTAGGATGAAACCAATGTGGGAGAAAATTTAAATGGAAGAGTTGGAAGAAATTGAATTGTCAGAGTAGTTCATGGACCACATGCTCTGGCAGTGAGAGTGACCTGGTAGACCTAGTCACCCTGAGGCAAGGCAAGCCAGTGGACACTGTGATCTAGAAATGGGATTGGCTTAGAAATGGAAATCAAACAAGTTTTGGTGATGTACTATTGGCTTGGGTCAACTCCTCAGTCGGGATCCAACATCTTGTAGTGATAGCAGGCTGTAAAGACTTATTCAGGTTTTGAAATAATAGTGAAAGCAGCAGTTATATACTGGGAGAGTTTAGGCCAGCTGGCAAGTACAGGAGGTGGTAGGAGCAAAGTGTCTGTTACTATTGTTACTATTTTATTCTCAAGTGTATAAATGTAAAGCAGAATCTTAGATTTAAATTAAGGATAATGAGAAAATAAATACATGCATTTTCTGGGTGTGGTTGCACAAGCTTATAATCCCAGCACTTGGGAGGCTGAAGCAGGAGGATCACTGAAAGGTCAAGTCCAGCCTGGTCTACAAAGTGAGTTCAAGGATAGCCTGAACTATATAGTGAGATCCTGTCTCAAAAAGACAAAAAATAAAAAGTACGTAGATTCAAAGTACTTATTTACAACCTATGTACATTCTTTGTACCAAAATATAGTTCCAATTTTATAATGAAAGTTAATGAGGATGAGGGTTCACTAAGCCAAAAAAAAAAAATTATAAGAAATTTTAGTGTGCTGTATCATATTAGTAATATATACCCTTACTCTTATACAGAGTGTGAAGGCTAACTAGGAAGATAGTATGCACTGTGTTGATTGTTGGAACTGTCCTACCAATTTGATTTGAAACTGTCTCATTGCTATTTCTCAATAAAATCATGAAAAAATACATATACCGATATACATAGTTGAAGGAGTAGGAGGTATGGGAAATGCACTATCACTTGTAATTTTTTGTTTTAATCCCAATTTGTATTCTTTTTTAAAAAAAAGTTGGACAAAAAATTGCCTTGCTACAAAACAGTCTTTCATTATTGCATATGTTTGCATAGCCACTTAAACTATTTAAACTACATTTACCAAAATCTTCAGAACTGTTCTCATTGAAGAAGGTAATAAAATTAAAAGGTTTGAAAAGTTTCATTAAAAGTGGATATATTTCTTTGGAGTTTTTTCTGAAGTTGTTGGTACAGGGTCTCACTCCGCATCTCAGACTCATAGTGATCCTCCTACTCTCAGTCTCCTCAGCGTTAAGATTACAGACATGTGCCACCACGCCCAGCCTTGGTGTCCAGCTCACTGTGCCCAGGGCATGGGTATGCTCAGCATGTGCTGCAGGGGATTGAACCCGGGTCCCTGCACTTGCCTAAGGAGGTGATTTGTCCATTGAGCTACTCTGCTGGCCCAAATATGTCTTTTTTAATGTATTGTCTTATAAATAATTTATTTCTTCATTCATATAATTGCCCTTATGAAAACATCTTTAACTGAGCCATGTAAAACCACTGACATTCTAAAATAAATGAAAGTTTGCTTTTCAGAAGAAAAAAAAAAAAAAAAAAAAGAATGGGAAGGCTAGAAAAGCAGTGAGCTCTTAACCAAAGTAGTCATTTAGATCTCATTAGGCCCCAATAGTTCTTAGATTATAGGCAGAACAAACTTTTTACACACCAAAAGATTTTGGGAGAAGGGGTGCCTGTGGATCTCAGCACTCAGGGAGGTCAAGGACCACAGACTGGATCCCATCCTGGGCAAATGAGTAAGACTGCGAAATAAAGTGGGGGAATATTGAGGATACTGTTGAGTGAAGGCCAGGGGTTCAGTCCTCAGCACAGAAAATAAATATTCTTATCAATGGTAAATAATCATTTACTGAACAATAGATTAATTTTGGAATTGGTATTTGATTTTTCTACTTTAGGTTGACTTAAAAAACCCAATTATCATTTGCTTATTTTCCCTTTGTCGTGTGTTCACACATTGCACCAGACTCTAATCCTATTTTCAGGTGTAGGCTCAAGTGTTCTAAATCCATTTTGATGCTAAGCCTCCACATTTACTAGTTGGCACTAAGGTCACATCCAGATACAGACCAGGAGTTTTCGTTTGTTCACATTTTTAAATGTCCTTCTTTGGGAATTGGATTTATGCTTACTATTGTTTTATGAATTTCACAACCAGAAATAATGCTTGAGACACAAATACTGCCCTTCCAGCCACACTCTTCTTGCCCAAATGAATTTTGTGATACTGATCTATACTCAAAGAGCACTTTTAAGGGCCACTAAGTAGAGCATTGTGTTTTGGGGAGAACAGGGATATGCTGTCAGTTTCTTTAAGTAGACAGGGGAGCTGACAAGGCAATCCCTAAATTCTTTTAATGTATTCTGAGAACAACATGCAGTCTACGGAAAAGAATTTTATATTTTAGTGTCAATGGTTGTTCAGCACCTAACACCATGTGTGGTTTTGAAACAGTCTGATATTAACATTGGTGCATTATACTTATTTGCTGTTTCTACAATATCTTCAAGGTACTTTTAAAATAACCTGGGTTCCAATACTATTATGGACTATTGGACTCTTTTAGAATATTTTGCTGAGTTAACACACCTATAATATTCAAATGACAGAACTAAACAAAAAAGGGGATACAGACAAATGTCCATTTTGTATCTGTGCATTCAGGTTGGTTAGGACAGATATATAGTTACATTCTCTTAATGAATAGAGGGATTTGTTCTAATAGTGTTTGTAAATAGGGTGTCATGTCTGCATCTTGTACAGCAAATAACCACTAGGAAGAGAGTATGCAATGCGTTAATTTTTGAAACTATCCTACCAGTTTGATTTGAAAATTATTGCTATTTGTTTCTCAATAAAATCATGGGAAATTAGAATATACAATAAAAAATAAATAACCTGGGTTCTACTATCCCTAGTATTTGAGGTTCACAATATTGTCTTACAGGTGGATGGTTTCCTAATCAGATTTCACTCATTTCATTTCTCCTTGTTCACGGCTGTACCCCCAGCACCAAAAACAAAAATCCCCCAAACCTAACCCAGAACAGGTGCACAACATTTTTAAAATAAATTTTAATTCTGCTTCTCAGTAATAATCACTCTACACTGAGTTTTAATGTTCCCTGAACTCCCACTGAATGACAGATTTTACGACTTGTAGCTCTAAATGCTCCAGAAAACCGTGGGTAATTAACAAATGGGTGTTTAAGAATGTATCAACTGGTGGAGACTGCAGACACACGGTTTATAAGACATCAGTATTACAAATTGTATGTACGCGCATGCAGTCATACAAGGCAAAGTTGTATCTTTCTACAAGGATGATAAATGAGTCTTTTTGAGCATGTGAATTCAAATAAATTTATTTTTTTCCTGGTACTTTCAGTGCCTAGTAAGACAAGGCATACTAGATGAGTATCCAATAAATACTGGCTGAATTAATTGCCTTTTATCAACATTCCTTCTGCGTTCTAGACACAGCTGGGTCTTTACTCCTTAGAAAGCAATGGTGCTGGAACCAGAAATCCCTTAAAAGGCCAGGACCAAGTTAACAAGGCTGAGCTAAGCTCCTGGGCAGTGCCACACTGGCTTAAGGCACTGAAGGAAGGGTAGGAGAACTCACAGAGTAAGTACAGGAGAAAGAAAACAAAACAATAATAACAAGCCAGCTAGGCGGAAGACGTTTCTGCAGTGGGTGTTGGCAGGAAGCAACCGCAATTACCGCAGGTCAACCCTTGTCAATAGGCGATCACCTCCGGAGCCACCGCCAAAGCCGTCCGCCACACAGCCCTACTTTTAACACGTTCTTATGAATACTGAAACGTGAAGTTCAGCCGAATTCCTTACAAAGAGCAACCGCAAGCACCTAACTCAAAACCTATCTTTCATTCCATTCAAACAACGCGGCCCATAGGAAGACCTCCGCCCGGAGCCAACGATCGCGCCGCGCGCCGCGCGCACGGCCCGGCAAGGCAGGTCTAGCCCTCCCGGAGTCCCGCACACCGACCGCCGGCCTCCGGAACCCCGGGAGCCCTCAGCCGGGCGGGCAGGACGACCTTCCTGCCTCGCCTCCTCCCTTCCAGGTCGGTCCCAGCCCCCGCAGGCCGGACGGCACGGGCCACACCCGCTTCCCTCCGGTGGCCCGGCCACCCCCGCCGCGGCTCGCGGGAGCGCTCTTCCTGGGGCGGGGCCGGGCCCAGGGCGCATGCGCACAGGCCGGAGGGCGCCTCCCTGCCCGGATCTCGCGAAGTTACGTTAGATCGGCCGCCAGTGACGGGTGCCGCGCCGGGGGCGGGAGGGCTTCTGTGGTAGGAAGGGAGGTCCGCTCGGCCGGGCGCGCCGCCCCAGTGCTCTGTGGGATACTGGCAGTCTCGAGCGTCTCCTCCCGGTTCCCAGCCTTCCTCGGCCCGCTCTCATAGAAACAGCCACACACCCCCTGCCTCCCCTCTCTTCCCTCGCCGCCTCCCCCTTCCCCCCTCGCGATAAGAAGACCCGGCGGCAGGAGAGGGGATGAAGATGGCGGACGCGAAGCAGAAGCGGAACGAGCAGCTGAAGCGCTGGATCGGCTCCGAGACGGACCTCGAGCCTCCCGTGGTGAAGCGCCAGAAGACCAAGGTGAAGTTCGACGATGGCGCCGTCTTTCTGGCCGCTTGCTCCAGTGGCGACACGGACGAGGTCCTCAAGCTGCTGCACCGCGGCGCCGACATCAATTACGCCAATGTGGACGGACTCACTGCCCTGCATCAGGTCTGTGCGCCCCGCCGCCGGTCTCCTGGCCTGGGGTCCCCGTCGGCCGCGCGCCGAGGCCTCCTCGCGGCTCGCGGCTCGCGGCTCCCGGCTCCCAGGGGCTGGGGGCGGCGGGAGGCTCCCTGCTGCGGGGTGAGGGGGCGGCTTCCCCGAGGGAGGGACGGACGGACGGACGGACGGAGGGCGGGCGAGGAGCCGAGGCGCCGGGCGCCAGGCCCGTGCAGACCGGTGCTGTCGGAGCTGGGGACCGGATGATTTCTGGGGCTTAGGGGACGGGGCTGTGGTCGTCTTGGGGCTCCAGGGCCGTTTGTGGACGTGCGTCTGGTATTGGAAGTTGAGACCGAGAGGGGTGTGTGTTTGGGGTCGCGCTGGGGTACCGGTGTCACCGATCTGTTGGGAGGGGTGCTGAAGAAAAAGGCTAACGAGGGGGCGCTTTGAGGAGCTGGTCGTCAGATGGTAGGTGGGCATCGGACGTGCTGTACTTCTGAGGACTTGAGTACAAAATGATGATGATGATGATAATAATAGTAATCAAGAGCCCTAAGCCGAGTGCCTTGAGCAAACGATTTCCTGTTTTCTCCTTTATTGCTCTTGGTCACTGGGGAGGGGAAAACGGAGTGTAATTAGGTGATCTGCTTCGGCTGAGAGACGGGGAATTGGAACATAAGGGGGAAAGGAGCGTCCCCAGAGGGTTCGCCTGGCTCTGGACCCGGACGTAGTGGGACGCATTGAGTCCGGTACTCGATCCGGTACTCGAAGAGTTTGCCGCAGTGTCAGAGATCCTTGAGGTCTAGGTCCTGGAGTGTGCACTGGAGCGAGAAAAAGAAGAAAACATTGCGCTATTCAAAGCTGGTTACCAAGTTCGGATTTTTCTTTTGGGAGTGGGAATTTAAAAAGCTGGTCACAAACTTTTCTCAAAATGGAAGCTTTGTGCATGTTAAAGTTTTATAGTAGTCTGATTGGGATCTCGCAGTGTTAGCCAAATAAGGAGAAACTATTGGCAATCCAGAGATAATGTTGCCTTGCCTTTAACAGGCCAAAAGCAACACAACCCGTAGGGTTCTGGATAAAAAGCAATTTTAAGCGATAGTGATAGGTGACAACATAGACTCTTATTCATTTTCTTATTGGGCACCTTGGAATTACTAGAAAATCTTTTACAGTGAAGACTTGGACAAAGTCAGACTTGCTTTGATTGCATGTGGAAGATGTAGCTTTGAATAATACAATATTAAAAATTTGGGATGTTGAAACTTAAGGCTTTATATTTCATGAATATTAACTTGATGCCCTTTTAAAAGAGAGGTGAATGATGGCATTTTTCCTTTTAGTGCTTCCTCTTTAGGTGAATGACCATATTACGTTTTATTTAATCAAATTTTCATGTAATGTTTGGTTTATGGCGTTTGTTTACAAAGTGGACTGGATGGAAGTGATTGACATTTTGCAGGACAAGTTGGAATTTAGAATGTAGCACCCAGTAAAAATAAAGCATTTAGCTCTTTCTCTGTTGTGTTAAAAAAGAGTCTCCAGTGTGCCGCATTTTTTTTATTTAGCTTAAGTTTTTAAGTTGGTTTTTTTTTTAATAATGTAACCATAGATTCTTACAAAAAAGTGGTTTTAACAATGAAAGGTTTTTTTTTGTTTTTTTGGTGCCAGAAATTGAACTCAGGACCTCCAGCTTGCCAGGCAAGCTGTGTTACTAAACTAAATCCTCTGCTGAAAGTGATTTTTGGCCTTAAAAATGATAATGTCATCATATAAGATGAAAAATACTTTCAAATTTCTTTTAAGTATTTTTTTTAGTATGAAAGCAATTTTGAAATAACTTATATATCCAAGATGATATATAAGTTGATTAGGGAATAGTTTTGGGGAATAGTTTATATCAATATATTAATAAAATAGTTGAGAAATTTAAAAAGCTACTGCTGTGGAGGAGCCCAGTTATTTTGGCTTGGTGGAAGAGGGCTATCTCTAATCCATTAATATATGATACTGGTTTAGGTAGTAAGAGAAGTTATGTGTAATGGCGTTCTGAGGTCTTTTTCTTTCCTCTCAATTTGTACGTGTTCCAAGAATTATCAGACTTTCCAGTATCATCTTGATTAACTAGATTCCAAGGTTGGTTTAGTGTTATGTAGAAATTTTTTCTTCCATGTTTTGTTTTAATTTACAGCACTAAGGAGAAGTGTCTTAGTATGCTGTTTTCATAAAGCCTTTTTCTTGTTATTTATTTGTACATTCCTTAAATCAGTAAAGCCCAAGTCTTTGAAAGATCAAGCATTAGTTTTTATTATGTTTTCTCTACTCTTACTTCTCATTTAACTTGTAGGTTTCTTCCAATTGTAACTGTAAGAACAAGGAGTTCACATTGGGCAAATTCAGAACACCAGATAGAAAAAGCGCTTGCAAGCACAAGAGCCTGAGTTCAATCCTCGATTCCGAAAAAAAAAAAAAAAGAAAAGAAAAAAATTGATGGAGTATCTTATATTTCATTTTTATGAGAAAAGTTATAGGAACACCTCATCTCACAGATACACTTCTTAATCTAATACTTCTTTTGTATTCTAAATATATACAGCTTATTTTTGAAAGTTTAAGTGAATGAGTTCAAGAAGTTATAAAAGATAGTCTACAGCTGTCCTTTCTGTATAGAAATGTCATCCTATGCAGAGAAAAAACAGTGTTTTTGTTGTTGTCATTGTTGTTGAGGGGATTTTTGTTGTTGTTTTAATCAGATTCGTGTCTTGATGTCAAGAATAGGTGGAAAACAGTGCAAAGTTATGTCCGTGACATAAATATCTGTTTTGTAGAACTGAGGTGTAGAGTATAATTTCAGTTTTATCAGGCAGTACTCAGCCTCTAATATTATAGCTAACTAGTAGAGTTTTATGGTATGTGATTGTATTTATATTTCAGTATTCTTTATAAAGATTTCACATTAATAAGGTTATATAGGATATATTTTGGTAATTCTCACTGGTGTGTGTCACTTACAAGACAGAGTTCTTAACAATTTTGAGTTTTAGCCTTTTGATTTTAACCTTAAAATCTTATCTTTTTCTTCTGAGCCAGTGACTTCCAAGTCTTATTTCTAGTTCCCTTATTTTTACAGAGCTCCAGTTTCTCATTTTAATTTTTGTCTTTATTAAATACATTGTGTTTTTTAGTCTTTTTGAGGTGGTTTTGTTATGCAGTTCAGTCTGGCCTTGAGCTCACTTTGTACACTAGGCTGGTCTTGAACTTGTAATGATACTGTTGCTTCAGCCTCCCGGTGGGCTAGGATTACAGGTATGTGCCTCCACACCTGGCTGTAATTTTATTATTTAAAAAATATCTTTAAGTAGCAATAAAAGACCACCTCTACCATACAGTGCATAGAAGTTATTGTATTTACATTAACTTTCAAGATTTCCTCAAGAATTCTTATTAAGATGTATTTTTTCAGTTACAATTTAGTTTTATAATCTATCTTTATCATTAACAGTAATTTAGATGCATATGTTGTTCATATTTTTAAACTTAAAGAGCATCCTTTTTTCTATTAATCTGGTTAGGCAGTTTTATAACCTTGTCAGGAATTCATTCTAAAATACACATCTTTCCTCACCCAAGACTGCTCTTCTTACTGATACCTGTTTCTGTTAGTGTTGCTACTAGGTATTGGTTATGTCACATTAAGCGTTTTAGTTGTTTACTCATTCCCCTGGTCCACATGTGTCTATTCAATTTTCTGACTCAGTCTTTGCTATTACCTTTATGTCAGTTCTTTTTTGTGCTGTTCTTGCTATCAACCTATTTCACACCTTCGTGGTTTTTATCTCTAGAGTATAGTAATAGCTTGTTTTCCCTGCCTCTTTACTCTGGTTCAATCTACCATACAGATTGCTGTCAGTTACTTTGTGTCACTCCTCTCCTTAAATTTAAACCTAAAATATTTCTACCTTTAGCTTATTCTTGACACATTTTCATTGTGTTGTACCATTTGAACTAAATTTTTACTTATATTTCCATGCCTTTAGCCATGATTTTTTCCACTATTACCATATTCTTTGCCAACTCAAATCATTCTTTGGAGTTCAATCCAGTTGTCAACCAAAAGTGATCTTCCTGTTCTTTGAACTTGTATAATAAATACTGCGATAGTTGAGAGATGTTCTTACTACTGGGATATTCCTTGTACTTTATTTTCTGCCCTTTTCTTTCACCTTTCTGACTGTGTCTTCCTATGTAGTTCAGGTTGGTTTTGAATTTACATAGCCAGACTGGCCTCAGATTCAGGGTGTTTCTCCTGCTTCAGCCTCCTGAGTGCCATGATTATAGGCATTCACCACCATGCCCAGGTTATCTTGTGAAAATACTTATTATTGAATAGTATTTGTGACTTTGCCTTCTCAAACTTACAGGGATAAGGCTTATTCCACATTTCCAGGTCCTGGGTCGCTAAAGGTTTGCTTTTATTTTTTTATTGAATATCGTAAATATAAAGTTTTACATAGTGTAAAATACATCTTTGAAACCTTCACATCCAGGTACTTATTATCTTTACACATAGTAGAACTTGTATATTTATGAAATAAATGAGAATGTTGTGGCTCTTCGGTCCATGTATTTTAGTATTTTGGGATTTAATATTTCCAGATATCAACCCATTAAATTCTAAAGTAATTTAGTTTCGGTTAAGTGTAAGAAAAATATATGCAGTAGAATCAATAATTAATTGCTTCCAAAGAATCTGAGCTAGGACGTATAGAGGGATCCACAATTGAATTAGGTTCATATTCTATTATAGTTTTATATATACTTTCCTTTTACTTACCAATGCAGACTGTCAATAAGTTTAATATTAAATCCCTTTGCTCCTTTTTATTGATATGTTTGTAATACATGATATTTATGTTTATTTTGGGGAATTGGTACACATACAAGTAACATACCTTGATCATTTTGATCCCTTTTTTCCTTTGCTCTTAAAATACAAATTTTGTCAAGTTGTA